TGTGTGTTTTTTTTTGTGTTTTTTTAAGACATCTGAGTCGAGTTAGCTTTTAGGTAGCTAATTTTTTGGAGGTTTTTTTAGATTTTGACTTCTCTAATCAGAAACAAAATATGGCATAAACCAACTCCTTTCTTGCTGCAACCTGGGCAGTAAAATGTAGCAGCTGTTGAAATCACACAAACTTAGACTGAAATTTTTCTTCACAATGTGGAAATCAAGAAATCTCAGCTCATGTAAGGTTTGTATAAAGTGACTGCATTCTGCATGAAACAGTAAAATCTGTTGGAAGACAACAATTGTCTTTTGTGGGGTTTGTGGTCATGGTGTGCCTTTTACGAAGGAAATGTGTACAAATCTTTGCAGTAACTTAAATATTTGACTGTTTTCTTCCACTGGGTACCTGAAAGCCAATTCACAATTTCCATCAGAGCAGGGAGATGTTGATTGTATTTGCCTTTGAATGCTGCCTTGAATACTACTGTGCTTGAGTAGTTAACTTTTCTGTAAATTTTTGAAATGTACCAGTAAAATTTTTCAACAAATAAATGCCAGCCCTTTTAAAATTTCTTGTTTGACTTGCGTATTCTTCAGCCTCTTTAAATTTCATGGCTGAGAGCAATTGAAAGCAGATTGTTTATTCATGCTCTGACTGTAGCAGGAAGGAAATAAGAACACTTCATATAATTACCACAAAGTGCATCAATTATAGTTTTAATAATATTTTGAATTTAGTTATCAAGCATGCTTGTAACATACTGCATTTTGCTGACTACTTTTTTTGAGTATTTTTTCCACTTTATAATATGCAGCTATCATGCTTCTTCCTTTACTCAAAGTTCTTATTCCACACTAAAAATAAGCATAAGCCAAAGATTTGCCATAGATGTGTTTTCATCAATATGCAACTTCAGCAGCAAGGGAAAAGACAGCATGCACTTCACAGCATGCTTGGAAGGTTTTTTCAAGTAATGGGCTCAAAGTAGAGGTCCTTTTGCATGGTACAATAACTTTTAAGCTATGCCTGTTAGCATTTGAAAGTGCATCTCTAATTTGTTTGGTAGTAGTCCTATCTACACAGTCAGGATCCAGTTTTAGGTAAAGATGAGCACCCCTCCACAGCTTCTATGTGGTGAGAGTAAGTAAGATTAGTCTGCAATTTACATTAATAATGGAATTGGCACCTAAGCTATTTGAAGTATTTCCATGGTGCAGCAGTGCTTAAAAGCATACCACCACCACCCCCCCCCAAAAAACTCCAGCAAAAAAAACCCAGAGGGAATCTCACATGCCTTGTAGTACTGAATCTGGGACAGTAGTATAAAATTATTTTTGTTCCTAAATCTTCAGACTCCATTCTCTGGCCTATTTCTTTGTGCCTGGTGTGAGTGGGTGTTGAACAGATGAATTACCACTTGGCAAGTGAGGTATGGAAGTGGGGAATAGAGTGCTGGACTTCTGCTTCCCATTCTTCTCCTCCTATCTCTTGCCAAAGGAATTAACAGTCTCTTAGCCTTTGTCAGTAACATCCCTGTCCTAGTTAGCCTGGGATTGTGTCACTGTGGTTATTTGCAGAGTGGCAGCAGTGCAGTGTGGGGAAGGTGTTCCTATTGAGCAGCTCAGCTCAGCTCGAGGGCTGCTCTGGGATGAGCACTGGCTTTTAAAAAGCTTTGAGGCAGTCAGGCTTTATTACAGTTGGTGCGTCGCTTCCTGGGATCTGGACTCTTCCCAGGGATACCTGCTACCATGTTTGGGATTAGTGAGAACATTAAAGATGTTCTTTTAACAAGGAATGAGGAAAAGCCTCTGCCAGAGTCTTTGTTTAGACAGGATCTTAGTGACTTTACAGGCTCTGTAAAGTGAATCACTTAAATATGTCCTTTAGGCAAAGTTAAATATATGGAATTTTTACCATGGCAATTAACAATTTTTCTCATTAGAACTCTAGAATCCAAGGATGTCTCCCTGTCAATTTTAAGGATTATTTTACAAATAAAGTAATGCTCTTCTGTCTTCCTGTAAAACTTTCAAGGCTGTGGTCATTTGAAAGATTGAACCTAAATCCTTGAAAAGAAGAAAGTAATAATAGTGCACATTACTAGAATAAGTTTGCAGCTTTAAAAAGTAGGGTGATTTTCTACTCCAAGTAGATCGACAAGTAATAGTTGTTATTTCCCAAAAGGTGTTATATTGACTTGCTGATGATTTGCTTTCAGAGGAGAAAAAAACTCCCAGCAATCCAAACCCAATCACTCTTCTGGTTGTCAGCTGTTACATTTCCCAAGATTTTTGTTTTCAAGGTATTTTTCATTAGGTATGTACTTTCATGAGATCACAAAAGAACAGTGTGTCTGGCAGAACTTTATTTTCTTGCATGTGCTTCTAATCACATGCTTTCCTGTAAGTTGTATTTTACTATAGTTCTAAATATTCCATAGTTGAAATGATATTATCTAGGGTTTCTTAATTTTTCTGTTTAAAGGGAGCATGACTACTCCCTTGCCTGCCTTTCTGAGCACCTTCTTAATGTATTAGATTATACTTTCAAACCAGGAAGTAATGAAAATGTAGGAGTTATCAAAAGAGACTGCAAAATTTCAGTATTTGGTGTTCATGCCAGTGATTAAAAAAA